ACTCCCTCTGACGTCTCCTTTCTCCCTCTGACGCCTCCTTACTCCCTCTGACGTCTCCTTTCTCCCCCTCATGTCTCACACAGTCTCAGTGTTCGGGGTCAGACGGAGCTGGACCGTAATGTTTTCCCAGAATCCCTTGGGTCTGACCGGTTTCTTCATCTCTCCTCCTCTTCAGGCACATGAAGATCCACGACAAGGACCCGAACGGTCTGATCCCCCTCAGCAGCCCTCCCTCCCCGACCAAACGCCGCCGTCCTTCCATGAAGCGGCGGCAGGGCCTGGAGGAGGAGCTCGGAGACGAGCCGCCCAGTAAGAAGGTAACCGGTTCTTCCCGCTCAGGGCTCCATCCGGCCCGTGTTCCTCAGAGAACTAGAACGGCTCGGTTCTGTGTCCAGGTGATGGAGGATGCGGCGGCGGACGAGTTCATGGCGGTCCAGGGCTCCGAGGAGGAGCTGCTGCCGTGTCCCATCTGCTTTAAGACCTGCAGCTCCAGACTGGACCTGGACGCTCACATGGACACTCATCCAGACACCATGCTCAGGTACACGACCTGAACTCACCCATCTCAGCCAATCAGAGACACCCGAGGTCAGTTTGTTCCTGCGGGAAAATTAACCAGGAAGCAAAGGAGGAAAGATCAAAGTGGAAAATTAGAAAACAATATGAGGAGAAAACATGAAGGACAGGAGGGAAGGAATGAGGTCAGCAGGCGGCGCTGAGCTCGTTATGGAGGAAGGAGAATACTTAGAGGTAAATCCTCCTTAATCAGCCGGTAAGAGGATAGACTGCACTGCAGGGAGAGGAGAGGAGAGGAGAGGAGAGGAGAGGAGAGGAGAGAGGAGAGGAGAGGAGAGAAAGGAAAGTTAGTTTGATGGAAGAACTCAGACAGCTGACAGGTTATTTCTATAGCGCCAATTCACATCACATCTCAGGGCACTTTGATGCTTGTAGCGACAGTGGAGAGGAAAAACTCCCTTTGAACAGGAAGAAACCTCCAGCAGAACCAGGCTCAGTGTGAGCGGCCATCTGCTGAGGCCCACTGGGGTTCAAGGAGACAGAAGCAGACATAGAAAAAGAAGCATAGATACAAAAGGCAACTGTCAACCAGCTCCACAGGCGGCCCCGTCCAGGAAACACACAGCCAGGCAGACGAGCTCCGAGCCAGCTCCCATGTCAGAGGATGAAGAGAGCACATCCAGTTAGTCACAGTCAGAGAAACAGGACTACACTGGAAAACAGGCCAAGCTCCAACATCTAGAAACAAAGGTGTTGATGGCAGCAGCACAGCTGATATTTCTCTCCAGGATGGAGTCACAGCCAAACAGGAACAGACCAGATGAAGCTACTATGAGAAAAAGCAGAGAGAGCAGAACGTTAGAGATTGAACTAACAGATTCTGCAGAGTGGGAGAATAGAGATAGAATGAAGCAGAATGATGAAAAAGGGGTCCCTATGTCCTCCAGCAGTCTAAGCCTATAGCAGCAGATCTATAGAGATAGAATGAAGCAGAATGATGAAAAAGGGGTCCCTATGTCCTCCAGCAGTCTAAGCCTATAGCAGCAGATCTATAGAGATAGAATGAAGCAGAATGATGAAAAAGGGGTCCCTATGTCCTCCAGCAGTCTAAGCCTATAGCAGCAGATCTATAGAGATAGATCACCTGAGCGTCTCCTTTGATCTCCTCTACAGGTGTGATCTCTGCTGCCTTTCGTTCAGAACCCACCGCGGCCTGCTGCGCCACAATGCTGGCGTCCATAAGCTCCTCCCACAGGACCCCAGCGGTCGTCCCTTCATCCAGAACAACCCCTCCATCCCCACCGGCTTCAACGACCTCGCCTTCATCGACTTTTCCTGCAAGAAGTTTGCTCACATCGCTCAGGTAGAGCCCCACCCACCCCTCGCCGCCATCGGCGTCGCTGCTCTGAACCGTCAGGTCTCTGACCCGTCCGTCTGTCCCTCCAGGTCTGGTGTGAGTCCAACCTGCGGCGCTGCATCAGTAAGTTCCACCGTTTTGTCTGCGACTCCTGCGATAAGGCCTTCCCTCTGCGCTCCGCCCTGGACCTCCATAGAACCGTCTCCCACGCGGAGAAACCCGCTGCTGAGGTCGAGGACAGAGTGAAGGCCAACGGAGGGAGGCGGGCCGAGGAAGCTCAGGACGCTGAAGCTGGACCCCCGGCATCAGAGCAGTCCTGCTTCCTGGAGGGTCTGGGCCTGCAGCACGTCTCTAAGGTGGGCTGCTCCTCCTCCTGCTCCTCCTCCTCCTCCTCCTCCTCCTCCTGCTCCTCCTCCAAACCCCTCCTGATCCTTGTTCTGTTGGACTTCCAGGTGAAGCTCGGTCCGACGGACGACGAGATCCATCAGGCCCACCTGGACAGCATCAAGGTGATCCACGTGGAGCCGCTGTCCTTCAGCCTCCCCCAGGAGCCGGCCGCCGCCTTCCTGTCCGGGGGCCTGGGGGTGACCCTGGGCCTGGGTGTGGGGGGGCTGGCCGCCCTCAGCATCCCGCTGCTGGAGGCGTCCAGCTCCGCCCTGCAGGGCCTGTCGCAGCGGGACGCCCTCAACCTGCTGTCCCTGCAGCCTTTCCAGGCGGGCTTCCTGCTGCAGCCGGAGGGGGGCGCCGCCACGGGCAGCGGCGCCTTGTCCAGCTGTAAGCCGGGGGAGTCCGGCGCCGCCAGCGTGATGGAGCTGGCCGACATCCAGCAGATCCTGAAGGTGGCGGCCGCGGCGCCCAACCATATGGGGCTTCCTCCTCTGGCCAAGGCTCCGGGTTTCTCTGGTGAGTGTCCCCCCGTCCCCCAGTTCTCTGGTTCTCCGGTCCCCCGGTTCTCCCGTCCCCCGGTTCTGGACGCTTTGTCTTCATCCTGTCTCCTCCTCCAGGTCAGCTCCCGGGTCAGAAGGCCATGCCGCCGCTGAAGCCCAAACCTCCCATCAGCCCTCGCTGCAGCCTCAGCGCCACCACCCCTCCCCCCCTGCAGAGCTCCCAGCAGGCCTCACTGGGCTGCATCAGCCCCAGCCTGCCTCCCCCAACGCCCTCCCTCTTCAAGTCGCCATCCTCGGCGGGGGACGGCCCCCACATGGAAGCAGAGTCGCCGGGCGACGCCAAAACGGCGCTGTCCGACTCGCCGCCGGCCGCCGCCACGGTGGTCCAGGAGGAGGCGGGGCTAAACGTCCGGAAGGCGGGAGGCAAAGCCGGGCCCGCCGCCGCCAAAGGGACGTTCCCCTGCCGCTTCTGCGACCAGGTGTTCCCTCTGTCTGGCGCCCTGCAGGCCCACATGCGCTTCCACCTGGGCATCCTGCCACACCAGTGCAACATGTGTGACTACGTGGCGCCGGACAAGGCCACGCTGATCCGCCACCTGCGCACGCACAGCGGCGAGCGGCCCTACGTCTGCCGCATGTGCCACTACCCCTTCACCGTCAAGGCCAACTGCGAGCGCCACCTCAGGAAGAAGCACGCCAAGACGTCCAGGAAGGACATCGAGAAGAACATCAAGTACGTCACCTTCTCCTCCCCGTCCATCACCGCCGCTCCCCCCGGCACCACGCCGGAGGCGGAGACGGCCTGCGAAACCACCTGCCGCTTCTGTGGCGAGGACCTGAAGACGTACCGGGCGCTGCAGATCCACCTGCGCACGCACAACGGCTGTCAGAGGAAGCCGTTTGAGTGCCGCCGCTGCGGCGCCGCCTTCCTGGCCAAACGGAACTGCATCCATCACCTGCTGAAGCAGCACCCGGAGGTCCAGGAGCGCGAGATCGAGGGTCACATCACCACGCTACTGCCCGCCGCCGCCGGCACGGCCCTGAATCCAGCGGCGTTGAACGGGATCAGTCAGCCCGCCATGCTCCTGCAGGTGAAGGCGGAGGAAATGGCTTACGCCGTAGAACTGGACCAGCCGCTGGACTTCTCTGCCAAGGGGCGGGGCAGCCAGACGGCGTCTCCCGTCATCAAAACGGAGAACTCCTCCCACGGCTTCGACTGCTCCGACTCGGACCAGCCCATCGACCTGTCCATCCCCAGCAAGCGGCAGCGCCGGGAGGCGGACGGCGGTGCGGAGAGGGAAATGAAGACGGAGCAGAATGCCGCCATGGAGCCGCAGCACCAGCTCGCCGTGGCGACCGAGGAGAAGACGGCCCTCCTTCCTCTGCAGCCTCCTCCCCTGCTGAGCGGCTACCAGCTTCCCGCTGGAGCCACGCCTCCCTCCGCCGGCCGAGCTCAGCGCCTCAAGCCGCTGCTGCCCAAACCCGCCCCCGCCACCTCCTCCCCCCCCTCTGTGAAGGATCTGGCGCCGCTCGCCTCCATCGCTCAGATCATCAGCTCCGTCTCTGCAGCTCAGGGCATGCTGGACGGAAACCCCTCATCCTCGCAGGCCGACCCCGACGCCTCGCCGTCCTCCGCCATCCTGGATGCTCCGGGTGACGATGCGTCCGACAGAACCTCCAGGTACTCCTCCTTCACCTCCTCCCCTCCTCCCTTGGCGGCGCAGGATCTGATGTGTTCTCTCCTCGCAGACGGCGGTCCAGGAAGAAGCCGGCGGCTCTGGCAGCGAAGGAGAAGGTCGCTGCCGGCGGGATCGACCTGGAATCCAGCGGAGAGTTTGCCAGCGTGGAGAAGATGCTCGCCACGACTGACGCCAACAAGTTCAGCACCTATCTGCAGACCGGAACCGCAGAGCTGACGGCGAAGAAAGGTGAGATGGCGCCCGGAAAGGCGGCGGTGGAAACCGATCTCTGATTAACTCAGACTCCTTCCTCTGAACAGATGTGGAGCGAGCCGGAGGAGCGGAGGAGAACGAGGGGAGGGGCGGCGAGGAGGCGAAGCCCGCCGGGGCTGTGGCGGCCATGACGGTACCACAGACCAAAGGGAAGAAGAACGCCTACTCCAACTCGGTGCAGAAGATGACCTGCCCCTTCTGCCCGCGGGTCTTCCCCTGGATGAGCTCGCTGCAGAGACACATGCTGACCCACACAGGTAGGAGGGAACACCTGAGGCCGGGGGGCGGGGCCTACAGGGCTGCTTCAGATCACACAACTACAGAGGTTTCATCTATAAACCGGTTTGATCCAGTTGATAAAACAGATCAGAATCTGGTGTCCCGTTATTGTCAGTAATTCCTCCTGATCAAGCATAAGGCGACAGTGGGAGGCGGCACCACCGGCAGAGGGAGAAACGGTTATAAGATCTAAACCAGATGGTTGGTTGATTAGTTATCTGGTTAATTGGTTGATTAGATCTCTCTCTAGCAGCAGACTGAGGTTGTGTCAAACATCCAGTCTGACCTTTGACCTCTGACCCCTCCATCACTACATACTGGACTCTATAGTGAACTTGGTTAAATCACCGTTCAGATAGATCACCACTACTTTTCACTCCCCGTTGGTCATGAGACTCCGCCTCCTCGCCTGCGCCATCTTTATTCTCTCCACCCAAAAAAAAAGATAAAATCCCATGATCCTTTGCAAGGAGAGCTCTTGCAAAGCATTCTGGGATATATCTGTGACGGGAAATTGTGAGTCCACTACGTTTTCATCATTTAGACGTTCCGACATTCATAGAAAATGGCGTAACCACTGTAGTGCCCTATGGAGGGGTTGGGGTGGACGTGCAGACAGCCTGGCTGTTTATCAATTCACTAGAACGCGAGTACGGACTCGTGTTCTCGCCAAGTCCGTTCTTGACTAGAACCCATGTAAGTCTGGACTCTGGGAGAACGGGAAGAAGCGTACTGATGACATCACCACCTTCAAAGCTAGTCTGTTATTAATAGTCTCTACATAATAATAAATAATTATTAAATTATTGACTTTTTTTCATTTATTGGGGGAATAACAATAAACACAGTCAGATAAACACAAATAAAATTAACATTTTGCTAAATAAAACAAAAAAATCGCCATCCTAGCCAGCGGTCCTTCACACACGGCTATGCAGAGAGAGGGCGACTAGAGACGGGCTAACGTTAGCCCTGGCTGGCTGCTGCAGACGGGCTAACGTTAGCCCTGGCTGGCTGCTGCAGACGGGCTAACGGACTTTGTCCGTTCTCTGTCTGTTGTGTTGCGAAATGGAACAGTGATGAGGATTCACAACAACGCACGAGTACCCAGACTGAGAGAGATGCCGTGTGTCTCAGTGAGGAAAGGATCGACTGAATGATAAACTCAGACTAGAAATGAGAGCTTCTAGACAGCTAGAATGGAAGCGTTCTCCTCTGGGCCGTAGATCCGCGTCAGCAGCGCCCTCTCTGACTTCGCACGGGTCAGAACCACTAACCGAGGCGTTCCTCCATCTCCTCCAGGCCAGAAGCCGTTTCCATGCCCCCGCTGCGACGCCTTCTTCTCCACCAAGTCCAACTGTGAGCGCCACCTTCTGCGCAAACACGGCGTGACCCACAGGACGCTGCGACGCAACGGCGCCATCGTGAACGACGGCTCACACGAGAGCGCCGGTCAGACTGCTTCTCACCGAGTCTGGTATCGACCCCCGCGGGGGTCCGCTCTCCCTCAGGCTGACGGTTCCTTTCTGTTCTGCAGAGAGCCAGTCGGAGACGGAGCAACCAGCGCCGGAACCCAGAGACCTCACCACAGAACCAGGCCCGCCATCCACCAATAATAGCCCCGCCCCTCCTGAGGTCACCCAGCTGAGCCCCGCCCCCAAAGCAAGCCAAGGTCAGCCAATGATAACGCTTGAATCAGTTGGGTTTTCCTTTGAACTCAGCGGGCTGACTCCAGACTGATCCTCCCACAGGTTCCAGTCCAGCTGCAGAGCAGCAGGAAGCAGAAACCACTGAGCAGGCTGAGCAGCAGGGGGCGCCAGAGAGCAGAGCAGCAGAAGGAAAGCAGCCACTGAGCAGCAAGGTAAACATTCCCGCCTGTAAGACAGGATTCAGGGCTAACAGGCTGGAGATTTGCTCTTTTTTTCACGTAGTTTCTGTTTTTAAATGCGATTTCTGATGCTGAGGATCGTTTCCACCTTCAGGCCGACGTCACAGACGACGACGACTGTCACAGCAACAAGAGCCTCGACCTGAACTTTGGCAAGAAGCTCATCGACTTCAAGCTCTCTTCGTCTTCCGCTAGCTCTGCTCCTCCTCAGGAGGCGCCGCCCTCCTCCTCCCCCTCCTCTGCTCCCCGGGAAGCAGCGGAGATCTCCGAAGACCAGGAGGGAAGCAGCAGCCCGGCAGCCAAGCCCGACCAGAAACACGCCTGCCAGGTCTGCGCCAAGAGCTTCCGCTACGCCGCCACCCTGGCTCGCCACGAGAGGGCGCACCTCTGCGAGGAGACGCAGGCAAAGACTGAGGAGGAGGCACCTCCTGCCGCGAAGGAGGTGGTGGAGGAGGAGGAGGAGGNAATCCCATGATCCTTTGCAAGGAGAGCTCTTGCAAAGCATTCTGGGATATATCTGTGACGGGAAATTGTGAGTCCACTACGTTTTCATCATTTAGACGTTCCGACATTCATAGAAAATGGCGTAACCACTGTAGTGCCCTATGGAGGGGTTGGGGTGGACGTGCAGACAGCCTGGCTGTTTATCAATTCACTAGAACGCGAGTACGGACTCGTGTTCTCGCCAAGTCCGTTCTTGACTAGAACCCAAGAAAGTCTGGACTCTGGGAGAACGGGAAGAAGCGTACTGATGACATCACCACCTTCAAAGCTAGTCTGTTATTAATAGTCTCTACATAATAATAAATTATTATTATTAAATTATTGACTTTTTTTCATTTATTGGGGGAATAACAATAAACACAGTCAGATAAACACAAATAAAATTAACATTTTGCTAAATAAAACAAAAAAATCGCCATCCTAGCCAGCGGTCCTTCACACACGGCTATGCAGAGAGAGGGCGACTAGAGACGGGCTAACGTTAGCCCTGGCTGGCTGCTGCAGACGGGCTAACGTTAGCCCTGGCTGGCTGCTGCAGACGGGCTAACGGACTTTGTCCGTTCTCTGTCTGTTGTGTTGCGAAATGGAACAGTGATGAGGATTCACAACAACGCACGAGTACCCAGACTGAGAGAGATGCCGTGTGTCTCAGTGAGGAAAGGATCGACTGAATGATAAACTCAGACTAGAAATGAGAGCTTCTAGAAAGCTAGAATGGAAGCGTTCTCCTCTGGGCCGTAGATCCGCGTCAGCAGCGCCCTCTCTGACTTCGCACGGGTCAGAACCACTAACCGAGGCGTTCCTCCATCTCCTCCAGGCCAGAAGCCGTTTCCATGCCCCCGCTGCGACGCCTTCTTCTCCACCAAGTCCAACTGTGAGCGCCACCTTCTGCGCAAACACGGCGTGACCCACAGGACGCTGCGACGCAACGGCGCCATCGTGAACGACGGCTCACACGAGAGCGCCGGTCAGACTGCTTCTCACCGAGTCTGGTATCGACCCCCGCGGGGGTCCGCTCTCCCTCAGGCTGACGGTTCCTTTGTGTTCTGCAGAGAGCCAGTCGGAGACGGAGCAACCAGCGCCGGAACCCAGAGACCTCACCACAGAACCAGGCCCGCCATCCACCGTTAACAGCCCCGCCCCTCCTGAGGTCACCCAGCTGAGCCCCGCCCCCAAAGCAAGCCAAGGTCAGCCAATGATAACGCTTGAATCAGTTGGGTTTTCCTTTGAACTCAGCGGGCTGACTCCAGACTGATCCTCCCACAGGTTCCAGTCCAGCTGCAGAGCAGCAGGAAGCAGAAACCACTGAGCAGGCTGAGCAGCAGGGGGCGCCAGAGAGCAGAGCAGCAGAAGGAAAGCAGCCACTGAGCAGCAAGGTAAATATTCCCGCCTGTAAGACAGGATTCAGGGCTAACAGGCTGGAGATTTGCTCTTTTTTTCACGTAGTTTCTGTTTTTAAATGCGATTTCTGATGCTGAGGATCGTTTCCACCTTCAGGCCGACGTCACAGACGACGACGACTGTCACAGCAACAAGAGCCTCGACCTGAACTTTGGCAAGAAGCTCATCGACTTCAAGCTCTCTTCGTCTTCCACTAGCTCTGCTCCTCCTCAGGAGGCGCCGCCCTCCTCCTCCCCCTCCTCTGCTCCCCGGGAAGCAGCGGAGATCTCCGAAGACCAGGAGGGAAGCAGCAGCCCGGCAGCCAAGCCCGACCAGAAACACGCCTGCCAGGTCTGCGCCAAGAGCTTCCGCTACGCCGCCACCCTGGCTCGCCACGAGAGGGCGCACCTCTGCGAGGAGACGCAGGCAAAGACTGAGGAGGAGGCACCTCCTGCCGCGAAGGAGGTGGTGGAGGAGGAGGAGGAGGAGGGGATGGAGGGCAAAGCTGCCGAGCTGGAGGCAGAAGAGAAGGAGGCGGAGGAAGACGAGAGCGACGGAGGGGAGAGCGGCGAGTCGGAGAAGGAGGAGAGGAGCGACGAGGAGGCGTCTGAACCAAAGAGCGCGGAGGGAGGGGAGGCGGCGGCGGGCGGACGGGTGGACAAGAGGAAGAAGATCTGCACCGAGTGCGGGAAAAGATTCTGGTCCCTGCAGGACCTGACCCGCCACATGAGGTCCCACACAGGTAATGACAGAGGCTCCGCCCACCGGCGGCTTCTGATTGGTCACAGGAAGATAGAGCCGTAGCTAGACGCTTTATTTAACGAAGGGCTCAGTGGGGCAACGGGTGAGCTGAGTGTCTGGTTGTCATGGTAACCCCTCAGCATCTCCATTGTCCAACCGAGCTGCCAGTGAGGGACGATTCCCGACTGATCAGCTGGTTTTACGATGAGCTCAGCCGACGTCGTCACTAAAGATCAATCAGATTATTAAGAAATCCAGATCAGATTAATCAGGAATAGAAGATCGCCGCCTAATCTGACGGTTTGTCGTCTCTCTGTCCCCCAGGGGAGCGGCCCTACAAGTGCCAGACCTGCGAGCGCACCTTCACCCTGAAGCACAGCCTGGTCCGCCACCAGAGGATCCACCTGAGGCCCCGCGGCGCCAGCGACGACGTCAGCGAGGACGGCGACTCCCGCGCCCCCACCCCGACCTCCACCTGCCCGCCGTCGGAGAACGAGAGCGAGTGCGGGAGCGGCGGCGCCGGAGCCAAGGAGCTGGAGGAGGAGGGCGAGTTTCAGAGGGAAGATTCGGCGGAGGGGGACGGTTCTGATCCGGCACGGCCCGCCGCCGCAGAGGAACCGGACGACGACAACGCCGCGCGGCAGGAGCCCTCCGCGGAAATTCCCCGAGCTACTGAATCAAAGACGACGACAAGCACCGACTCCTCCGCAACACCTGACGGCGCCAAAGATCGTTCCGGCTCTCCCCCAGGGGGCGCCGCCGCTGCGGCCCCCGCTGAAGGCTTCATCCACGGCCTGCTGGAGATCCACACCAAGCCCCCCCTGGAGCACCTCCTCCCTAACGGGGAGCCTCCGATGGTGGGCGTAGACTGAAGCCCCGCCCCCGCCGCAGTGCCATACCACAGAAGGACGTCCCCCCCTCCCCCCATCGACGAAGAAACCAGCCCGGAACGTCCCCCCCTCCCTGAGACGGGGGCCTCGTTTTCTTGAAGTGCCTTACTACTAGTCCGACTTCTAAAGACGTCATTTTGCTAAATCTTTATCCGCGTCGTAACGGAGGACGGATCGGAACTTTTAGAGCTTTTTATGACACTGATTAACTATTTTGGTTTCGGGGAAATCTCTAATTCAGCAATAAAAACATTGAATGATTACGATTTATTGTTCTAGGTTTTTGTTTTCGATGATCAACGCAGGAGACGCCGACGGACCGAAGCTGAGGGCGGGGCGTCCAGATCCTTCTGCGTCGGGGCCGGAACTGGACCATTCAACCTTTTTTTTTTTTTTTGGGGGGGGGTGATTCCGGGTCAAACCGGTCGGAGAGACGGACTCTTGTGGTTCCGGTTTGATTCGGAGAAGCGAACACTGACTGAGGAAATGGTAACTGGAAAAAAAAACGCCGCTGGCTTCCTCTGCGGACTCACGGAAACTTCCTGAACCAATCAGAGTCGTTCTCCTCTGTTTTTTTTAAACCCATCACACTATTGGTCCCTCCCCATTGGTTGCTCATCACCCCTCTGTTGATTCCATGTTTCGTAGAGAGGTCGGCCCACGCCGCGCGACGCTACGTGTCGCCGACCACGACGAGGGATTTCCTTTTTTAACTGAACAAATCAAATGTTGTTTTTTTTGTAGTGTGAATGTGAGCGTGTCTCCAGGCTGCCCCCCCTCATCGTCGCCCCCTAGTGTTTGCTTTAGGGATCCTTACAGGGCCTCCGGCGTGCTAACGCGTAGCAGCACTAACACCTGTTCCAGGTTCAGTTTACCTCAACTTTCGCTTCTAACTGAAACTGCTAACGCAGGTCTGGATGTAGCCCTTTAAAATCCAGCGTCTTCCTCCGGCTAACGCGGTCAGACCGCAGCCCGCCGGCTTCCCGCCTCGGGGCCAAATTGGAGCCAACGAGCGCCGACTCGTCAGTGTAGCCACGGCGACGTCACAGGTGTTTTCTGAGAGGCAGCTAAGGAAGGATAGCTGACATGGACAAGCTGCGCGACTTTTTTAAAGCTAGCTCACTGCCTTCCGATCTGCGCGGCGCAGAAAACCAGGCAGGTGGAGTAATTAGCTAACGAGACAATCAGACCGCGGACTCAGCTCTAGCTAGGCTTAGTGCGTTTACCCCCCCGTACAGTATTACGTCCCTCTGTTTGTCCACGTTGGACAAGAGTCCATCGTCTCCTCTTCGTCTTGACGCTTATTTTCCTTCGGAAACGTCTGAACTTAGCAGCTAAACTCGACCCAACGCTTTGAGGTCTTTAGCTGAGCATTAGCGACAATCAATTTTAGTTTTCTGTTTCCAGAGGCCGCCATGTGACGCCATGAGAGACGGATGGACGGGTGAATTCATAAACCTGCTGCACATTTTTAAAAACAAAAAATCAAGTTAAAGGGCTAAATGTTGGAAGAACCGGGGCGGGTTCTTCGTTCCGACTCCACCGTCTCCTGCGATGTCGAGGCGCGTAGAAAACTTTTTTTTTAATTTTTGAATATTAGACCTCATTAGCATATCGAGCCTCAGCGGCTTCTGACAGAACTGTAAGGCAGGGATGGTCGGTCGTTTAGCGGGTTTATCAGAAACAAACCAAGTTACGACGGAACCAGAACCGCTCCGATTGGCTCATCGCTGCCCTGAACTGGCACTAACGTTTCCCAACCTACGACTAGCACCTCTTCTGTTTGTACTACTAACCGGTCAGCGGAGAAAGGCTCGCCGTCTTTAGGGGCCTCTGGGACGAACCACTGGACACTTTATTAATTAAAAACATCCAAAACTTTCTATATAAATTATTTAAAGTAGAAAAGCTTAGCTGTAACTTTTTTTTTACCTCTTACTAGCAATAACTGGCAAGCTAGCTACTATAAGCTATTTAAGCTAATTAGCTTTTTTTCTTTTTATGCTATCATTGCAAAATTTGAATAAAATTATTTTTGCAGATAAATTGTTTTTGTAATTTTAACATGGTAAATAGCCTAGCTTATAATGAACTGGTTTCCTAAATGGGTTTTAAAGTCGAGATGCTACTCGGCTAACAGGCTAGCGATGCTTCCGTTTAGATTTCAGCAATAATCAAACAAAATAGAAATTTAGTTTTCTACTCATTACTCTTTAATGTTAAGTGTGAAATATAATTTTTTTGGAATTCGCTTCCATAAATGAGCGACTTGAATGATGCTAATAGTTGCTAAAAATGAAAAGGAGTCTTTACTGGCTAATAGCTCCTTTTCTGTGTCCTCAGTCGTCTCCTAATCAAACGTTTTCTTGAGGATCTGTTGTGTGCGTCATCATTTAGCTAATTATTTCAGATAGTTTGAAGCTAAAATATGTCAAAACCGTGACCAAGTTATGCTAGCTAAGCATTTATGCCTGTTCCAGAATCAATAAACCCTAGCGTATCATATTATTATAATAAAGTGAATATGCTACATGGCTAACAGGCTAACTGTAGTTCATTATCAGTTTTCAACATTTGTCAGAACTTTACTTTTTTCTAGAGATTTAGCAAATAATGAGGGGCTAATTAGCATAAACCAGCTAACATAGCGCTAATGGTAATATTCGCTTAATGTTTGAACCTGAATTTAAGGTAAATTTAAATCCGACATTTGAATTTACTTTCCTGTTTTCTTCCGATTTTAAGACTCTAAACATTAAAAAAAAAAAGTTTGCGCTAGCAGCGTAGCTAAGCTGGCGGCCATGTTTGGCTCTTGCATTCAGTGCGGTCTGGAGGCCAGTGGAGGCGCCGTCCCTTTCTCTCCTGGCTCCGTGTTGGCCTCCTCTCTGCGGGGGGGCGTCTGTCCGTCTGCGTGAGGCCTTATGAATACTGGACTTCCATTCGAATGCACATGGACTGTTTTTAACGTATTTATTCGGAGCCCAGGCGTGTTTCGGTGTGAGTGAATTTCTGCAATGACTTGAGAAGAAGCCATGTATTAAAAATGTCACATTTATGCTGCAGAACTGTTGTGAGGAACCTGGTGGTTTGTTTTTTTTTGGACCGGCCAGCTGGCCCCTGGGGGCCCGGCGGGTCCACGAGGGACTCGGACTAGCAATAAGAATCCTTCTGAATCCAAAAGCTTTATGTAGAGTTTTCTTGTATGTGAGTCGAGAACAGTCTGTCTGGGTTTATTGGTTATTTTTAGTTTTCTTCTATGACATAAATGCATATAAAACTGTGAAAATCTATTGTGATTAATTAAAGGGTGAGTTTTAGATTAGTTTTTTTTTTTTTTGCATGTTAATCTTAATTTTTTTCCAATTATGGATGATTTCTTCTTTCTGCATCACTTCTTGTGCTACAAACGCATTTATAAATATCAAAATATATATAATCTCGCTCTCAGGGTCTTTCACAAATCCATTATTTGAAAAGCTTCATGTTGTTTTTTTTTTCCCGAGTCGCAGCTTTTCCACATTACTTTGTTTTTTTTTAAAGATGACATCATGATTCAGATCTGTCAATCACTACATTTAGCACTTGACTGTGAACTCGTCGCTACCCGACACGGAAAATGTGGTTCGATTTTATTTGTTTTGGTCTCCAAACTCTCAGTCAGACGTCTGATTTGAAGCCTTTTTCTGTTTTTCGTAGAATCTTATTTAATGAGTTTCTCTTTGTGTACTGGACCTCAATCACAGAGCATTAAAACAGTCGTCTGGATCCATTTCTGTCCCCTGCTGTTGGCAAACATGACAGTGTTTCAGAGATGTACACCTCCTCTGTATTCAAACCCAATAAGTAAAAGCAATAAAGATTATGTAAAGGAAAGGTGTGTCAATCAACATGAATCATACTTCTGTCTTCTTTGATCTTCTCCACCCTGACATTGAAATGTTCAACGCTTAGAGATTCCCTCTAATCCAGAAACATCAGCCGAGGATTTACAGCCTTTATGCTACGGTGGCCTGAGGGGTGCAAACATGATGCACTAGCAGGAAAAGCAGAAGAAAATCCTGAAAGTAGCAAAAACAAATGCATTTTAAGGCAATGCTAAGCATTAGCTTCATTTGAGGTATGCATCGAAGTTAAGTGTTAGCTTCATTTGAGGTATGCATTGATGCTAAGTATTAGCTTCATTTGAGGTATGCATCGAAGTTAAGTGTTAGCTTCATTTGAAACATGCATTAATGCTAAGTGTTAGTGTCATTTGAAACATGCATCTATGCTAAACATGCTTAGCATTGAGACATGCACCAATGCTAAGCATTAGCTTCATTTTAAACATGCATCGATGCCAAGTGTTAGCTTTATTTGAAAGATGCCTCAATTCCTGAACGTTAGCTTCATTTGAGACATGCATCAATGCTAAGTGTTAGCTTCATTTGAGACATGCATCAATGCTAAGTGTTAGCTTCATTTGAGACATGCACCAATGCTAAGTGTTAGCTTCATTTGAGACATGCACCAATGCTAAGTGTTAGCTTCATTTATGACATGCGACAATGCTAAGTGTTAGCCTCATTAGAGACATGCACCAATGCTAAGCATTAGCTTCATTTATGACATGCGACAATGCTAAGTGTTAGCCTCATTAGAGACATGCACCAATGCTAAGCATTAGCTTCATTTATGACATGCGACAATGCTAAGTGTTAGCCTCATTAGATACATGCACCAATGCTAAGTGTTAGCCTGATTTGATACATGCACCAATGCTAAGTGTTAGCCTGATTTGATACATGCACC